TTGCCACAATTTTGTGAATTCCTGAACAGTGAATCTTAATTGCATTCGGTCAAATTTACTCTAAAGTAGCTTCTTGATCTTTCCTGGTACATCGAATCACTGGTTTGTAATTTGTACTAATTCATGCGGCATGCAACAAAAAGTATCATTATTAGATCCAACCATATAAGTGTCATTTCTCCTTCCTTCTTTCCTGATAATTTGTTCTTGAACACTCGTATGTGTAATTTGAAATACCCAGAACTTTCTGTACAGCAATGTCTATGTATCTGCTGGATAGCGTATTTCATAGGTTGTCATCCTCTTTGACAAAGTGGTAAAAAAAGCTTTTCTTCAATGTTCAACAGTGATATGATACGAAACCGAGTGTCTTCGAAATTTCCTATTTTAGTGCAATGAAGCAACTCTCTCTCAGTTTGGTGCCACCTATTAGCTAATTACCCCCTCCCCACATGATTCTCACGTGTTTCCAGATGTCAATCTCCACATTTCATGTAGGTATTTTGTATGGGATTCAATTCGGTCTATATAGCCTTCCTCAAACATCTTTAGTTTCTCGTAGCTTTGGTCCTGATTCACTGAATAGATGTTTGTCTAGTTGATTCGGCTTCTTACGCTCACCTAACTCTCGTCTCTTCGTGAGTTGCTAGATATATCCATCAGATGTTCAGTTTCTTCCTTCATGGCTTTTAACACTCCTGGCCCTTTGCTTTCTAAAGGCCTTGCCAAAAATTACCATCGATTTGCTGTTAGTCGTGCTCTTGTCCTAACTCGCTCCTTCCTTCTTTTCCTTTTTTCTGTCCTCAAGATATTCATCATTCATCTTCTCTCCGATGTTCACCCGTAATTCAGCCAGAGCAAGTCTCGCTTCCTCTTCTGATGTTTTCATTTCTTGCCTCAAGATGGTAATTTCTTTCTGTCGTCTATTCTTGTTCACTTCTCCTCTCCGTTGTTGCTTGACTTCTGTTCCAAATACGTCCAGACCTACATTATCCATAATTTGCCATCGGTGTTTTTGTCTATTCCTTTTACATGCCAGTGATTGGTTTTAGAATGCATGGTATATTTACATCTTTATTAATCTTCTCCCATTCCGCCTTGTAGCAACGTTAACTAGCTATAGGTTCTGCTACAATATATGGCCTCCAATGTTTGCTGTTCTTCTGGTATTGTCACTCTCTTTGGCTTCAACCATCGTAACTGGCACATAATCTGGTTAAAATCCCGAACTACCTCCTTCTCCGTCTCAACAGGTTTTCATCCGCTTTGTGTCAGTCGCTGAATAGATGTGCATCTATCTTTCCCATGTATATCTTCAGCACCCAGTTCAAATTTACTCTCAGACATGGATTGGTCGGTCTGATGTTGTACATGTATCTATTAAATCATCCAGAACATGTTCTTCCTCGTGCAACTCCTCGGGTATCTCTCTATATGTAACAGTCGATATAGCAGATTTAAAGGATCTCTGACACAGAATTAAGTTGTGCTTCGGCCTACTATACCACCACATGCACCCTAAGTTGACTTTAGGGGTGTGGGCTGTATCCAAGTTTTCACCGACCCATTCACAGCTGTCATCCAGACCTGATTGCATGTATCTAACCTTGTTATCGTCGATTTCACATGCATATCATGGTCCCGGCGTCATCAGGTAGATCTTTGATTCGTAGAAGGTCGTTTCGACGCTGTCCGACAATTATAGCCTTCGGAGGTGCACCGAGGGGGGGGGGGGGTGTGATTAATTTCAAGGACATAATAATTCCTGTAAATATTCTTTGCTTCAGAACTTGGGACCCAATTTACGAAAGAACTTACAACTAAAGCCAAAATCTTTGGTTGATTGTAAAATCTTGCAAAATTATTTTTAAAAAAAAATGCTCGCAATTACAATATATTATTGTTTGCAATAACAATATCTTTCTTTAAAAAAACAAAACATGCTCATATTCATGTATAAAGAAAGTTATTCGCAAAATTACATTTTGGTAATAGTTGTAAGTTCTTTTATAAAACGGGATTAGGTTACTGCAATATTCGAGTAAATATTTTAAATTTGAAAAATTATATGAAAATGTTTATCAAATGCATTTATCGTAAAAAGAAATGAAAAAGAAAGAAAGATGAATGAATTTTGAATGTGGGATCTTTAATTGCCGCGAAATAGGATGAAAAGCGCAAATTTTTGTGCACTACGAATAAGACGATGTACGGAATGACATGAACTTTATTGTAAATGGCGCCAATATTCAAGGGCGGTAATTTGTAAACATCCGACAACCCAACAAAGTTCACAAACTAAGAATCTGTCAAAAGCTTAGCACTTATCTGACAATATTGAATAATGAACATGAAGGGATGATGGTGGACTTAATCAAGTACATGTAAATATAACATGCACTGCACGAACCATTCAAATCGAAAGTAGAAAGAAGACAAACTCTTGGTGACCCTTTTCAGCCTTTTTGAAGTTTTTCGTGTTTGGGAAAAATGTTGACTGGAAGAAGTAATCAGGTAATCAAATAGGTCGTATTTTTTCACCAACCAATTGCATGTGATGGTCTTGGACATATTTAGATTTCTTGGGCTATTACAACACTGTACAATCATGAATGCGCAGAAAAAAAATGTGATCAGATAGGTTTTCTGCGTTGATCACATGGGTTTGTCTCGATCAATTAGTCTTCTTTCATTTTACCACCCTACTGTGGCTTCACTATAAAATACATATATTTTATAGTGTAGGGTGTAACAGGAAAGGAGAAAAAATGCAACAGACCAGACTGGGATTTGAATCCAGGCCCCCTGAATCTCCAGTCAGGTGCTCTACCAATTGAGCTATCTAGCCGACGGCGATCAAACCCGTCTGACCACCACATTCCTCCCTCCATGCAGGTCTGCGGCCCCCAAAGACACCAACCCAGGCTCTTCCTTGGCAGGTCTTCACCTGTCACTTCCAGGGCATGGCACGGCATGTCCAAATGTAAAAGGAGAGGAGAAAAATGCCATGGACCAGACAGGGATTCGAACCCGTGACCCCTGATTCTCCAGTCAGGTGCTCTACCAACTGAGCTATCTAACCATCGGCGATCGAACCAATTTGACCACCACAAAGGAAAGAAGATTAATATTGTGACGAGCCCCTGTGCATTGATCTGTCCAGTTACAACTCACAAATTATCAGTCTGGTTGTCATGGTTGTTAGCACCTGTTTCCGATAATTTCATACAAAATAAATATTCTTTGTTATTAGTGTTAGCATTACAGGGCACAACAGACATGACAGAACAGTCTTGTTTACATACTTGTACTTTAAATGTGTTAAGATTGAGACACTTCACCATATTCACCAAAAAAGATGCTGATTTTTCTTGATGTTGTTTGAATATTCTTTAAAAAAAAATTAATATCTATAATTCACTCCAACAGTAAGAAGTAATAAAGATTTCGACAGCTTCTGTCAACTCCAAAATAAATTGCATGTACTGTGGAATCATAATTGTTCGTGGGGAACAATGTTCGTAGATTTCATGGGTCACTATTATCCAAGAATTAACATCCCTTATAAACGAGTAACCCACGAAATTTTGTTCCCATGAACTAATAAAATTTTGCTTCTCCACGAACATTGACCCCCACAAATTGAAATGATTCCACAGTGTAACATTCATAAATGAATCACTGATAAATGTAATGATAAAGTGCCAGCACTTGAAAAGAAAAATGTAATATTTTAAAATATTAGTTAATAACTGTCTGAAGAATCATGCATCTGTATGTATAATTGTAATGGTTCTTGAAACCTGTAGAATTCTGTGCTTGTAAAGGGAATATTTGTGTATCAGGATTAATCTTGTGTTATTAATGGTGTTGAATATCGTTTCTTGTAATGTGATCGTTCATATATCTTTATAACTTTAACTATAAGCATGATAAATGAGCTTTTAATAGTTCTGAGGTAAACAACCACTACGCATAATCTCAGGCATAAATTTTGTTTAAAAAAAAAATCTAATTCCCTTGTACAAATTTCAGATGTTTGGTTTCAAGATAAACCATGTACATGTACAGATGTATTAGTATTTATCACATAAGCTTTTCCAGTAATGTTTTTATGCAACAATCCTAATGCATTTAATATTATATTTACTGGTAAACTCTAACAATTTAAATATGCAGAATATAGCCAGGCAGGTTGAAACTTTGAATTGGGCAGTTAGATCGAGATATCTGTATGGTGTATTTTCTTTAGCATATATGATGCATCCATGCAATTTGATCGGCAAAATTTTTATTGACCAATATGTGTCCCTTTGTATGGTTGAGTGAATTAGTTGACAGGTTTATGTGTAGTAGTAATTTGTTCTGTATTGATCAAATATTTTTCCAAAGGTAAGGTATACCTTTAAACTTTTCACTCAGGTGGTTACCAGTACATGTATATTCTCAGGTGAAATTTGACTACGACCCACTCAGGTGTAGATCTAAAAGCTATAAGCTTTTAAAGAAGAAACACAAACAAAAATAGCTCTAAAAATGTATGTGAATTAAAAGTAATTGTTCATGGTTGATTGAAATTTATATGAAATAAGGTTTCATGATGGTGTGAATGTTTACTGTTAATTGTAAAGTTATACTCTCTGCTGAAAGGTGGGATATAGATCTTAATTAATCAAATTGAAATACATTAGTGTATAGTGTACATTAATGTATTTCTAGGTTTATTTCTTTTGTTATGGGCTGCATCCAAGCATGCAGTTCTTGAATTGATTTATTTTCCAATGTAGATGAATACACTCTACCTTAAAAGGCAACCTCTGATTAAAATCATTGAAATTCATGTAAATTGTGGTGTATATTTAAAATTAACAAATTGTATTGGATCCTTGCCCATAGAATATACTTTTCACCAGTTTGATTAATTCATTTGAATTTTATATATATATTGATGTGTTTTTTCCTTCAGGTCTACTGAGCTGTCATTTCATTTGTAACCTGTACAAGAGGGGACACAAAGAACAGCTGCGGCAGCACTTGCGTCCATTCTAACGGGGAGGACCTACAAGTTCATGCGTCAGGGATTCTGATTCAGGTAATTCACTTTGTTGATGGTCCAACTCTATGAAGCCCCAGCTTGCATATGTTGTGTATCGATGTTAGGGCAACAATAAACCATGGCTTTGTATCGAGGTTGGTGACATTAATGGCTTCTCAGCTTGGTATAAGGTAACCTCATGTTGTACGTGTAGAATATGTATAGATGGCAATAGGAACACATATTGACATCAGGTATATATATATATATATATATATATATATATATATATATATATATATATATATATATATATATATATATATATATATATATATATATTGTTGAATATGAATAAATATCTGAATGTGGCTTATAAGTTGTTGTTTGACAAGTGATTTTTGGTTGTCAGAAAACTCTTCTAGCCTCCCAGTCATTGTTGCAAAGAGTATGTATTTATATGTTTTAAAATCATTTTGGAACTTTTAGATAGAATTCATGACAGATTAAGAATTTAATTGTGGATGAATCATCAGATAATTATTTTAATGTTTTAGAGATTCATTCAGATATAGATTTAGTGTATTTATGGATAAGAAACTCAATGTAAAATGCACTTTGTACGTGCATGTGTACAATAACTGTACATGTATTTCCCTATCTCACTGCACATTATGATATGTACTATTGATTACGACAGTTTATTTCAGTGTACAAGGCCTTTCTTGATATTTCTTTCAATTTAAGATAAAAGAGATAAAAATGCTTGTCACGAAGTATGAAAATTCAATGAAAATTATACTGAAGGCTGGTATAAAAAATTACAGCAAACAATGTATGAATCAGATTTAAATACACAGAATTGTTGAAATCTTGATTGATTTATGCTGAAGGGTTTTTGAAAAAAAAAAAAGAGGGAACAGCTGTTAATAGCAAATTAATCAATAAAACTTTATAGTGAAGTGAGACAATTTCCCTCTAAATTGTTATAATATGTGACATATGTCTCTTGTAGGCTGAAATACTAGAATGAAACCCGTCAACAAATGGCAGACTTTTTAGAAATCCCTTCAGATGTAGCATCATAGATTCAGGTAAGCACATGTTATTGGTTCTGTGTGTTACAGTACAAACTTGTATTAATACTGGTTAACTTCTGGGCAGTGGTACTCTTTGTCAGCTAATTCTTAACACATTCTATCTAGTCTCTTGCCTTTGTTATTTACATGTATGTGTGTTCATGCACTGAAAAATAGTCTAGATCATGAAAACTTTTAAGATTATATGATTTTTTTTAATACATCTCTATTATACTCCTTGACAATTTTTTTTGGGTTGATATTTTATTATGATAGTTACTACAGTTTATTTAGTTCTGAAAAGTAATGTACAGTAGAGCCTTGTTAAATCCTGATGCCAATAATATGGATCATTTGTTTGCATGAAAACAAGTGTTGGGATTAACAAGGCATGACAATATACATCTATAAACTTTTATTAATTGAAGTACATGTATAGCATATTGTGTAAACAAAAAAGAAAAGTGTGGGCTAAATTGGGAAACTGGGACCTCCTATGAAATGAGCAGTTCTGTCAGTTCTGTTGAAGCTAACAGGAATATATACCCTGGTTCCATCACATCATTACCCTTTTCTAGAGGTTTTCCACTCTTGAAAACACCATCTCTGTCTGATGCAATCTGTGGAATTTCTTAGGCTTTAAATCACAACAGGAAGAATTACATGTATGTGTAAGAGTGATCATGTTTGATCTGAGTTCGGTACCTCTGATCCTCTTTCCACTGAGCTACTAGCCCATCTCCAGTATTTCCTGTTGTACTAAAAATAATAAAGTTCTTCAGGAAAGATACTTGCCCAGTGTGCTTCCCCAGATTTCATATGATATGGTTTCTCATTGACAGATGCAACAGAAAATTTTAGATGCCCTGGGTATTTTCATGTAGAACAGGAAGTTTCTCTTATTTTTTATAGGCATGCAGTCATAAGAATGAATAATGTTTAGAAATTGAGAACTTTTATTTTTATCCCCTTAGACATGTAGAGATCAAATCTATTTGAATGCAAAGGAAGATTTATATATCAATGACTAGGACAATACTGTTCATTTGTCAGTGGTTTTATGACTTTGGAACACAATGGAAAAGACCTTCATATAGTGACAATGTCATTGCAACCTTACATAACCAACCACTTCTTTGTAACATTACATAGTTCTAAAGTCAAGAGATCCAAATAAAACACAGGTGATATAGACCAGGTAAGTCCCAGGTGAAAAAAAAAATAAGGAAAAACAGAATAAATAATTTTACATCTATAGATGAAGTCAGGGCCAAATACAAGTTATTGGTCTTTGACCAAATGTGTGTAATTTTGTTTTGATACCTATGTATTGGAGTGAAATGTTTTATATATATATATATATATATATATATATATATATATATATATATATATATATATATATATATATATATATATATATATATATATGTACTATGTTATAAATATTTCCTGTCAATGTGAATTGATGTACATCACTACAATTATGTCAGCGTGCATTTTGTCTTCCTTCCCTATGCAGCGTGAAACTTGTTACAAATTTCTCCAGTTTTAGATTTGCATATAAGTTCTGAAATAAGATGCCTTTATTCTAAATAGAAATGCTGCACATGTGCAATGTGGTTGACAAATTATACCTTCAGAAGACTAAGTTTATGCATGTCGAACATAAACCCAAATGTTAAATTGTGTACCTGTGTTTGATAGACTACTTATATGCTTGTGGGAGTTTGGTTTATAGCTTCAGGTAAGACTGAGTAAATAAATTACTGATTAAAATCAGCAGGGGTTTATGGGATATACCTTGATAAACATTGATAACTTATGTAATGTAAACGAATGCAATTTAAGATAAACACATACACACGTACATTATCTTTCACTGCTATAAGTCTTTCTTAGTGCATTTTGCATGTTCAAGATTGTTAGGTTTCAGATGTTTCCTCTTTTCTTGCTGTTTTAAGAAGAAAAAAAAGAGGGAGGCTTAAATACTTGCTGGAAGTGTTGAGAGTTTCTGAATATGGGGAGTTAAAGGATGTATACTTTGTAGCAGACATATATGTAGATGATATTTTATATAACGCCTGATAAATAATGTAATGACATTATTGTCCAATTTGCATATCGATGAAATTGTAATCACAACCAGGGATAATTATTTTTTTTCTTCTTCTATGTATTAATATACTATTTTATTATACAAAAACTAGTTTATGTCCTTGAAACCCTGTTCACACTCTGACTCTGCATCCTTTAGTTTCCTTAATACATTTGTATAAGCAAACTTTCCTCTATACAAATTTTATTCAGGAATTCTGATGGGATTGTGCAACAGGCAATATGCCTATAAATACCCTCTCCATCCAAATAAGCAAACTTTACATATATATATAGAAGTTGTATATGCATGTATGATAAGAACTTGTAATTTTTAAATCTGGAAGTCTCCCACCCTCTTTGTTTTGAGTCTAGCTGACATAATTGGAATGTAAACATGGTTCTGAAGGACTTGCATGTAAGGAATGTTCCGGTACTGGGAATTCTGGATAAGATAACTTGATTTTTTGTGATCTCAGGTATTTTCTGAGAAAATCAGCAGCTTTTCTGGATTGCTTTAAATCAATAAATGTAAGATAGATTTGATTTTGGAATTTTTGTCCGAATCAATTGCATTATTAACTAAAATAAAATGTTAAGATTGACGTTTGCCTTTGTAGATTATTATATATAATCACTCAATTTGGAAGGACACCACACAATGTATATATATGTGTACAGGAACTTCTGTTAGGGACTTAAATTTTGACAATACTACAAATTAAGTTCATTATCAAGTCAGTCAAACCACTGAAACTTGACTTTGACTGCTGCAGTCATTTCTAAATACAGTCAAACCTCATTATCTCAAACTTGATGGGACAAAGAAAAAAACTTCGAAATATTCCTGTGTTCAAGATATTGAGGGTAAAAAACTTAACAGTCAAGGGCATCATGGAAACAAGTTATTTTTAAAATAATTTGTTTAAGTTATTAAATGTCATTATTTTGGGTTATCTTTCCCTGATTATGCTTTTCTTCAGTAACTTATTCCAGTTATTGATACTTTACTATTCATTATTTTAAACCTACTGGTATCTGAAAAGCTTTATTCATGTTGTACTTGGGTTATTAAGTAGATGGAAAAGATTCATGACAGTAAGAGTAATCTTTGAAATTCTTTTAGATTTAACAAGTTGAAATTCAACAAATCCTAACTTATTTCAGTTATTTCAACCTTAACCAACTTTACTTTAGAACTCTTGTACAAAAATCTACAGCTTTGCACAAAGAATGTAAGACATAGAGATTGTACAGTAATATCCAAGGATTTTAGGAAAATTAGTCTCACTGTTGGCAAAATTGGCGGAAGTTGTGTAATTGACCTCTGAAATGTTCATGAAATGGAATTATTTTTCCCTGAAAAATATCATGATATTTTGATAAATATCATTATATCTGCTCAGGAGATATGAAGTCTGTTGAGTCTATTAAAAGAAGTACATCTATTTACAATTTTCTCAGTCTTACATCATGTTAAATCAGCAGCAAACTCAAAATATTGATGTTTTTTTGCAATATTGATAGGCATTCTACGTTTTAAGAATTAACTCAAATGAGTTATTTCTTTGTTTAGTAATAAATAACTCAAGTAACCTAAAAAAGTTATTTTAAAAAATAACTTGATTCCAACATGCCCCTGACTGCTTAAAGAAAAAGGGTTTGGGACTTCCAATCACTTCGACGTATCCATGGTATCTGAGATATCCATGTTTGAGATACCAAAGTTCAACTGTAAATTAACTGATGAGCTACCATTGCAAAGTGTTAAAATCAATCTGGTTCATTTGTCAAGTTCAGTCATGAAATAAATACATGTACCACATTTTGAGCAACCATTGCACTATGGTAAAACCAATCTGGCTCCCTTTCAAGTGCAGTCATGAAATAAATACATGTCAGAACCACATTTTCAGCTACCATATTGCAGCGTGGTATAATCAAACTGGCTCCCTTTTCAAGTTTGCAGTCATGAAATAAATACATATACCACATTTTGAGCTACCATATTGCTTAGTGGTAAAATCAAACTGGCTCTCTTTTAAAGTGTGCAGTCATGAAATAAATACATATACCACATTTTAAGCTACCATTGCACAGTGCTAAATTCAATCTGGCTCCTTTTTCAAGTGCAGTCATTGACAGCGGGAAGTACAGATTCATTTATTATCAGTTTGAAAATCATACTTTTCAGAATTTTTTTTGAGGAAGTAAAATTGCAGTAGTCACCAATTGATTCTTTAAAAATCGATATGTTTTACCTATGCTGTGAAGATATCCAATCGTTCAAACCCTGCTTGATGACATAACAAGAGGGGGAGACTCTATCGTAAAACTGATAACCCACTTCAAAGTAGCCTTGATTCTCAATCACAATAGGCGTGCAGCAGTTGTTCTCGAGTTCAGGACAGACTTTTTCACCTTTCTTGGAAGCTCTGAAGTGCATTTGTTATCAGATGCATTGAAATCTGAGGTGGAATATTTTGTAAGTTAAAAGTTAATTCATCAAAGAAACAAAATAAATGAGTTCATGTAAATTTTTCATGATTTTTAATGTCTTCAGCTTGTTTTTGATCTGAAAGTATAACTTTTTTGTGTGATAGATGCATGTGCTTATTGATTTAGTTGAAAATGAACAATTTTTTATATTTGTAACATTGATTTGATTTAAGAGAGTTTGTCTGTTCCACTGATGCCCCTCTGATGTTGAGTTGTTCGATAGCAAATCTTAATTTGCTTAATAATTGATTGTGATTGGTTTTTCTTCAATTTAAAGAGAAAGGTTGTTTTGAAAACTTTTAAATGCAGCATGTTTTCTTGTTTAAGCATGATCAAAATCATTGTAGTTTATTGACTATAAGTTAAATGTATATTTAAAAGTAATGTCACTCTGTATTTGCATTTATGTCAACATGTAAGATTATATATTTTAGTTGGTATTAATCCTGGATTAATGCACTTTAGCCAGAGTGTAGGATGCAAGGAATGAATAATGCTGAAATAAGTCCTCAAATGTGTACATTTGCTAAATTATGTGATTGGTGTAATGCTGTTTTTATCTAGCATGATATCTTAGAAGGTCATGATAAAATTGTAGTTTTAAGAGGTGCCCAAGTGATCTGCAAATTTTGTGTTGAAATCCTGGCAAATAAATAGCTCAAAAATCATTATAAATGCTTGCTGTTGTGAATAAATGTTGACCTTATAGTTTTGAAAGGTTAAAAAAAAAACTTGTCCCAGGCTAGCTTAATTCTAAACACTTCAGATGTTGAGCAGTACAAACTGGGTGAGGGGATTGGTCACACTTTCATTTTGAAAGTACATTTGTATTAAGAATAAAGTTAAGAAGCATGATGGTTATGCAAAGTTTTTGTTTATGACAGCATCACAACAAAGCTGACCTTTTGACTGTCATGAAGATGTTAAAATAGAAACTGATCACTAGATATTGAGCAATCCAAAATAATAAAAGTTCAAGCAAGTGAATTTTTGAGTTAAGTTGCCCAATTTACAAGTGAGAATAAAAAGTTAATGTCTGTCGAAGAGATAAGAAAATTTCTTGTGTGAAATGATCGAGGATTAAAATTAACATAATTCATGGGTATATATATGTAGATGTTTAATTCAGAAATTAGGCAAAAAAAAAAAAAAAAAAAAAAAAAAAAAAAAAAAAAAAAAAAAAAACCACTTAGTTTTTAAGACATTTCAATATTAAGTCAAACACATTGATATTTGCATATATTCAACAGGAGAATAGCTCAATTTAGTTGAAAAAGAAAATAGAGTTATTCCCCTTTTCACATACTCTATTAAAAAACATACTTCTTATTGAAAAAAGTTTTGGATAACATTATTTAATATTGAGTATTATAAGAATACCAAAAAAAAAAAAAAAAAAAAAAACCTGCCTGCCATTAAATTTGTTGGCCTGCAGGGCTCAACATAAACTAAAATATCCACTTTTCCATTGGACAAGTTTTTTGAATACATTTTCTACTTTTCAGACTCTGCACAGATATAAAGAAAATTGTAGAGCTTTATTATCAAGACTGAAGTAGCTATAAAATACTGACTTGTAAAGATTTAATTGTTAATTCATGAAAAATTACTCTCTAACTGAAATCTCGCTTGTCTATTAATTTATTAATATTCAGTGCAGTATAACTGAGCCCTTAAGATTGTGAAGTTAAATATTAATTAGATGTTTGCTATTTTTATAAAAATCACATCACTGTATGAATTCTGTGGGGATCTATTTTACACTTTTCCATAGTGGTAAAAAAAAGTTTACTTGTCCATGGGCAAGTTTTTATGGAGATTGACTTCTCCGGTCACAGAATGAACTTGACACAGACAATCGGCATTAATGTGAAATTAAGATTTAAATTTTTTGGCCTCACAATATTTCATTCATCTTTCCACAGTGACTGTACATCTTAAACATTTTTGAAAACATTGTATGGCAAAATATCACGTGTCTTGTGCCAATCTCCTCTATTAAGACTGCAGTTGTATTGAAAAAAAATCATTTTATACAGAAAGATACAAGTATCCCATATAGGGTTTTCTGTGTAATAGGACTGAGTTTTCTGTTACAGAAATCTGGAAATCATGCATCAGATTGTAGGAGGTGATCCCAATGCTCGGGAAGATGTTGAGCTCTTGGCCAAACAGAAAGCTGATGAGCTGTTTGCTGTTTGTGACATTGAAGAGAAGGGCTTCATCACCAAGCGTGACATGCAGAGGCTGCAGATGGAGTTGAACCTTGACCCTGAACAACTAGAGGCTGTGTTTGATTCGCTGGATGATGATAAGAATGGATATTTAACTCTAGAGGAGTTCACATCGGGCTTCGGTAAGTCTCTTAATCTATTTTCATTTTTAATCAGGATATTAAGAATACAGCTAGGCCATCCTTTGAAAGAGTTTTTCCCAATAAATAAGAGCCTTGACCTTGACCTTTCCTTTGACCTTGACCTCACTTCCTAAAAAAGTGTTTAGCTAAGTTTTAAAGATATCATTCAAGATAATGTAAACAAACTTCGTATGTTGATACATACTGATGAGAGCTATTCAACTGCATCAAAGTTTTTTGACCCTGACCTTTTCTTTGACCTTGACCAACTTTTCTTAAATTATTGTTTAGCTCAGTTTTAAAGAAACCGTTCAAGATAGTGTAATCAAACTTCATATGTTGATACATACTGATGAGAGCTATTCAACTGCATCAATATTTTTTACCTTGACCTTTCCTTTAACCTTGACCTCCATTTTCTTAAATTTGTGTATAGCTCACTTTTAAAGAAACCATTAAAGATATTTTTATCAAACTTCATATGGTGATATATACTGATGAAAGCTTTTCAACTGCATCAACATTTTTTGACCTTGTTCTCATTTTTATATGCCCGTCTTAAGACGGGACGTATTATGTTATAGCGTTCATGTCCATCCGTCCGTCTGTTAGCTTTTCATGTCCGGCTCATAACTTTAATACTATTAGGCCTAGAGTTATCAAACTTTGTCAGCTGATGCCTCACTTTTATCAATTTGTTTTTAACTCAATTTTAAAGAAACCATTCATAATATTTTTATCAAACTTCATATGCTAATACATACTGATGTAAGTTTTTCAACTGCATCAACATTTTTTGACCTTGACTCATCCTTTGACCCTAACTTCATTTATTTTAAATTAGTGTTTAGTTCAGTTTGAAGTAAACCATTCAAAATATTTTTATCAAACTTAATATGCTGATACGTATTTGTGAGAACTATTCAACTGCATCAAAAATGTTCGACCATGAAATTTCCTGTGACCTTGACTTCACTTTTCTTAAATTTGCATTTAGCTTAGTTTTAAAGAAACCATTTAAGATATATTTATGTAAGCTTATGCACTTATGCATAATTTGGTGAGAATTTATCATCTATATGCAACTTTTTAGATTTCAGTTTTAAAAGAAACTATTCAAGATATTCTCATGAAATTTCATACACTAATACAAATTTTCATGTTGCATTACTAATAAACCCTCGGCGGGGCATTCATGTCCTATGGACATATTTCTAGTTTTTTTTATGCCCCCGTATCGAAGATTCAGGGGTATATAGTTTTTGCCTTGTCTGTCCGTCTGTCTGTTTGTCCGCTTTAACATTGCCCATAACTTTTGATTGGTTGGAGCTATAGCTTTCATATTTCACATGTGTATTCCTTGTGACAAGACCTTTTGCGGGTACCATCATATTTTACCTTTTGACCTTGACCTTGAAGTGACTTAAACTTGGCCATAACTTTTGAACAATTGGTGCTAGGGCTTTCATACTTCACATACTGTATGTGTACTTAAAAAAGTGAGCTTCATATTTTAGTGACTTTGGCACAGACAACGATGCGCTAATTCATGAATACCGCTAAGAAATTATTTATAAATACAATATACAGCACGTTCATGTATAGCGCTAATTCATGATTTCGCCAACAACTCCATACCCAGTGATTGCGCTAAATTTTGAATACGCCGATTTATGTACATGTACAGTATGTAATCCTTGTGACAAGACCTTCATTTGAATACCAACAACTTTGACCCTTTGACCTTGACCTTGGAGTTTTACCTTCCTTTGGAAAAGTTTAACCTTGGCCATAACTTGTGAACGGTTGGTTTTATGGCTTTCATACTTCAAAAATGTAATCCTTGTGACAAGACCTTCCTTTGGAAACCAACAACTTTGATCCTTTGACCTTGGAGGTTGACCTACTTTTGGAAAACTTTAATCTTGGCCATAATTAGAACAGTTGGAGGTAGGGCTTTCATATTTAAATATCTATTCCTTGTGACAAGACCTTCCTTTGGATACCACCAATTTTAATCCATTGACCTTGACCTTGGAGGTTGACCTACTTTTGAAAAACTTTAACCTTGGTTGTAACTTTTGAACAATTGGTGCCACGGCTTTCATATTTCACATGCACATTTCTTGTGAGAAGGCCTTTCGTTGAGCACCATTAATTTTGACCATTTGATTTTGACCTTGATGTTTGACTTACTTTTGAAAAACTTTAATCTTTTCAATATCTATTCAATGGTTGCTGCAAGGGCTTTCATATTCCTCGAGACAAGACCTTACTTTGGGTACCAACATATTTGATTTGCATTTGAGAAAGTTTAACCTTTGCTATAAGTTGCCATATTGGGGCATTAGGGTTTCACAAACACATCTTGTTTTTCATGAGTGCAAAGCATGAGTGAAATAAAAAAAAAAAAATCATGTCTCTTTGTGCAATAAATTTCATATCCAAATACAAAATGCTGAATTCTCTGTTTATTACATTTTTAAAAAAATTCCTTTTGCCTCTGTCTTTTGGTAAGTCAGTATCAGGCTGTGACATTGTAGTTGAGCAGGTGTGAGACATCAAAGATACATGTGTTATTAGGAGATTGTTAGATTAAAATTGTAAGCATATGTATGCAGATTTTGACAATTTGGAGAAACTTTGGGAGTCTCAGTCTGTGTTAAGATTGTTTATTTAATACATCTTTTAACTGGGAGTTTTTTTTATATAAGATCTTCAAGAAGGGAAGGAAAATCAAGAGTTTTGCCATACTTTTGATATTTTTCACAGTGAAAAATATCATTTTGATATTTTTCACTGTGGAAAATATCTTTTTCAAATATCACTTACAGTATTTCACTATTGAAAATTTAATAAATATATCTATATATATTTACTTTAATAAGATATATTTATTGATTTATTCTAAATTAGATGTGTCTTAATGTAATATGTTTTACATGTATTCATAAAAATGAATATAGTCTTAAGTTAATTAAATGGAAAGTGAAAGCTTTAAAACAAAAGAGAGTTACCTTTCTTTGACAAACAATGGCTAATGTGTGGAATATGTTGGAAACAGGAAGTTATCTGGGAAATGCTCCCGTAAATGACAATGACAGCCTGAATCTGAGTGATAATTACGAAGAAGAAATGGGCGACAAGGCTGAAGAGGAGGAAAAACAATTCAGTAACATGATGGAGAGCATAGGAGCGGATAAAGTCATTGATGAGTGAGTAATGATGTAAATGTTTATGAGGAAAAGTAAACAGTAATAGCTAGGACTGACAGTTATGACATGATTGAGATTAGGGCAATCATATGCGAATCACCTTCAAAAGCATAATGCAGATCTATAAATTGAATCCTGTTCAATGGGTTATGTATGTTTTTTTTTCAAAATTGACAAATACATTCTTGATTTAAATATACCATAAATTATGATTGCAGCATTGTTAGACGTAAATTTGTCAAAGCAAATGCCTTGTAAAAAAAAAAATCATTTTTATTTTGATAATGTACATGGAATCCGCACCATTACAAAAGCACATAGTAAAAGGTGATTTTCCGTTGTAGTCAGGCCACAGTGAAAACTCTATGGATGAAGATTCGACATGAGGAACCTGAGCTGATGTCAAACTTTGAGGACTTCCTGTACAAAGTGTCCAACGATATCCAGAGAGCCAGAGGAGACTTTGAGTCACTGGAGAATGCTCTCAAAAGGTATAAATACAAACTTCTTTTGATTAAATGGAGAGATTTCTTTGTGCATTGTAAATACAGTGTTAAATCTACAACGGTGTGTAACATCTGGTTCTCAAATGTTGCATAAATGTTAACTGCATGCATAAGAGAGAGAGAGAGCTCACAGTATTCTAGTAAAATTAGGAAATTTTTTTAAAGTAATGCCTGTCCATGCATATAGTCATGTACATTTATAGGAAAATTAATTTACAACATATTGACAGAGGTATAAATACTGACATGTTTTAGGTTTTTTTTTGGAATTGATATTCAGCATGATGAATGATGATGAGAAAAAGGGAGCATTTATACATATGTCATTTCAAAGGATCAATGTACAGTTAAATGATGTATATATGACATATTGTATGTATATGGACATAGTTTTGTCATTATCATAAAATTTCCAAATTGAGAGCTAGATTTTTGTGATTTTTTTTTAGCAAATAACGATAGAGATTGAATTACCTTTTTGGAGAACACTTTTAATATAGAGATATTCTTTGACAATGTAGTTTTTACTTATAATTACATCCATATTATGAATGGGAGAGGTACAGTACTGTTACAGCATATGTTGATTTATTATAGGGCAGGGTAAGAAACTCCCTAAAATTACTACTCGCAAATAATTGCGAGTACCAAGAAAGTGAACTCGCAATTTTATAAGACTACTCGCAATTTTCATATAAAGTTAAGTGTAACTTAAGGAAAATGTAACTACTGTACAATACACAAAATACAACTACAGTGCGACTTTTATTTAAATTACTGATTTAAATCAAAAGCATTGTGTTCTGTCATATTATATAATTTTGCTACAGTTTCAATGCAAAAAAAATCAACTCGCAAGTTATTGCGAGTTACCTAATTTTTAACTCGCAGTTTAGGAATTCTAACTCGCGTTTTGCGAGTTGTATATAGTGAATTTCGAACCCTGTAGGGGTCACTGTGTTTTACTTGTTGCTGCAAATACACATGTTGTTTCTTTGCTATGGTAGACTGTAGTAGAATCATCTTTTTTGCATCATCTGTTGAGTTTGATAACAAAATTAAGCTCAGTTTGGCTTGCTTTGGGGAGGGAAGGAGTCAGAGTCCTGAGTTTAAGGGGTGTATCCTAATGTTACTACAGTACAAACTTTAAGTAGATATTTGTTTCTCATATGCATGTAATAAGTGGCTTAAGATTGCTTTGGTGTCTATTGTGATATTTCTTAGTTCACAATTGATAAATGTTGTTGTTTTAAATTAATTCAAGTTTAAACTGTAAAAGAAAAATCAAACTTTAAAATAATGTAAATTCACTTGGAAAGAAGTAATAAACTTATATCCTTGTATATCTGATAAGCAAAAGATTTTAAAAAGTTAAAAGTAGAATTATAAGTTATGATGACTTGCAGTCTCAGTCTGACATGTTCACATTAATTGATTATAGAAATTTAAAAAAAAAAATGTTTCTAAATTTCTGGAGAATTTTTTAGCAAAAGTTGGATTATTACAATTCAATGAATTATCTGTGGTATAGACAGAGCCCCTTGTATAAAATTTCAGTTTGTTCCTAGTATCATTTTAAAAATACCTGATTATTAGCTTGACATTATCAATATCAGACCACATGGGGCCTGACATTACTATATACCTGGTACCTGGATGTTTTAGGGTGTTGCTGACAACAAAAAATAAAATACTGATAAGAAGACTGGTTTGAAGGGGAAACTCCTATTACATTATTGATTTTTAAAAGATATATTTAACTAGAATAGGGCACAGTGCTTTTTAAATTTTTTAATGCATAGATGATTAGGCATTTGGATTAACATTACCGGCATGATTCTGGCATAAAAAGGTGACATATTCTTTCTCTGCCTTATTTAACTGATTCGGGGAATATTTTGGATTTAGTGTTTTTTACGTGTGTGTATGATTTGGAAGAACAGGTTAGAACTAAATTTTACTTTTTTGATACATTACTTTTGTATTAATGTATTTGTTGATGACAGGCATTAGAGATGATCAACATTAATTAGTGTGGTAGGTTCTAGGTAGTAGACGTGAACTATTTGTATAGCAGTTAATTATCAAAATATTTCATTTATTAGAAAACAATTTTTGAGAAATGAAGGTTATATTTTAAAATTGTTTAGTGTATTTTGTCCATGTGTTATTATGTTCACTTGATAATTAAACCTGCATTAGAACTCAATTTAACAGTAGTTAAGTTTAAATAAGAAGTAATTTACAAGTGAATTGTGCAGATAATCAGAACTAGAAAAACACCCACAGGCATTGCTATGTACATCATGCATTAGCTGTGGTGACATAATCGTGTAATGAATTTTTTCTATGAGGGATAGCACACATATTTTATTTGATTATTTGCTTCTACTTAGTGTAGAACATTTCTACACTTGAACTGCCATAGTTATGCAGGAATAATAATCGCTTTATGTTGGATGTTGTCTGACAGTCAGTGACCCAGATTGACACAACAGAGACTTTCTCTTTCAAGCAGGCAGTTTCCCCAAATTTGACATAATCACTTCAACAAAGATTTTTTATTAAGCTGTCGAGGAATTTTTAAATGACTAAGAATAGTAGCACTTGATGTGGTGGGTCCTCTGTAAAAGCCTGTTGAACAGCAAGGTAGAAAGGATTTATAAACAGTGCATTGTATAAAAGACAACTTTCACATATGTTAGCTGAACCTGTAAAATTTGTGGATTTTTCTTCTTTTTTTTTTTTATGTGTGTGTGAAGTTACGACTGTCAATGAGGTGGAAATTTAACAAGCTTATGCTTTTATTTCTGTAGTAAGAACACGGCTCACGATCAGGAAATTCAGAAACTGTATGAAGAAATGGAATATCAAATCAAACAGGAGAAACAGAAGATTCTTACAGAGGTAGGGAGATATAGTGGTGACTAGAGTTAGAAATGGAATAGTGGCCAGAAAAGAAGGGGAATAGAGTGGTGGTCAGAAAAGCATGGGGATAAGTGGTCAGAAAAGTAGGGGGATAGGTGGCCAGAAAAGAAGGGGGATAGACAGGTGACCAATATGGAATGGAATACACTAGTGGTCAGAAAAAAAGGTGGGATAGGGTGGGGTCTAGAATCCACCCTAATGAAGGTGAGAAAAGAGAGAGCAAAAGAGTAGTGGCACCAAAATGGGGGGGGGGGTGTTATGCAGATCAGAAAGGGGAATGAGTGGTTGTAAAAAGAGAAAGGGGATAGAGTGGTGTCTTAAATGAAGGGAAAAAAGTGGTGTCCAGAATAGAAGGGGGATAGAATGGTGGCCAAATTAAAAGGAGGAATAGTGTCATCCTGAATTATAGGGAACAGAGTGCTAACCAGAAAATAGAGTGAAGTCCAGTTTAGGAGGGACTGTATAAAGGGAAATCTAAAATCTAAAAACAACCCAACCCATCCAATCTGGTCACCACTGTATTCTAGCTTCTATTCTAACTATACCACTCTTTCCCTCCTAAACTGGACCTCACTATATTTTCTGGTTACATACATTTATATTTAATTCAGCTTGTAAGTATTCTGATCTAGCAAATAAAATGATAGTGTTTACTATTTAAATACGTAGCCGGCGCTGGCACTGTTTAAATGTAATGATAATCCAATGGAACATCCTTTGAACTGTTGAAGTAATTTCAGTTTGATTTATAGATTTGATGTATAACAACATGACAGATTGATAACAAAAGTTTATGACAGGTCATTGACATGTTGCTCTGTTGTTCAGTTTTATACCTATATTTTATTGCTTCAGTATTCATATTTTGTGTTCCACAAGACACTAAAAATATATCAATATTAGAAAGATTTTATTTCCAATAGAGTATAGAAGATAATATATGACTTTTAATAAAACTTTCATAAAATATTTGACTTATAAGGGAACTTCAAAAGCTTCAAAAGATTTTATAATCAGATTTATCATGATTTATGTACCAGTGTATTCTCCAAGTCACCATTTACAGGCATAAGTTTTATAGTTGTACATGCTGTTGTAAAGCTGTTTACAGTTTGTGATGGTTAATAGGAGGTTGGTATTAATTTTAGTGTTGTATGGCATAGCTATGATGAATTGATGACAAGGTGTTTATCACATTTGGGTCCATGAAGAAGAACTTCTAGTCAGGGCATGTAGACACGTCCACATGTCCAGCTTAAACCCACACATTCTAAATTTATTTCAATGGTCATCCATTATTCTGTGTTACCTGTCCATTACCTGTACAGGTGTATGCTTACATAGGACAACCGTAACAAATGTGCAGCAATTTATTTTTGAGTTCTTCTTCATGTTATAATTGTGTTCCCTTGTGTTGATTTCTTTTTTCAAGAAATCATGGATTTTGATGATGATCATTTACCTGGACAGTTGTGTTTTAATGAGCTCAAGGTATCTCTTTAAATTTAAGCTTTAGAAATCATCTTAGTGGTATCAAAAATATATAAGCTGTTATGTGAAGTGAAGTTCTAGATTTAAACCTTCTTCTTAAATTCATTCAAAATCTTTGATGGCTTTGGGTTGAAAAAAATTTAAATTATTTGGTTTCCTATATTTAGGAGCAGTTAAAAGAGAGACAGCTGAGAGAAGCAATGGAGGAAGAATTAAAAGAAAAAGACAGGCAGCTACAGGATCTCCTTGCTAAACACCAAGAGGTATATTTATGTGTAATAAATCTAAGATATTATTTTTAAATCAATATAAAGAACATTTTCTTTTACTGTAGAAGAATGTGCATTGCTCTTTTCTTAATAAATTATGAGGTGTATTTGTGTGTTTATTTGTGTGAAAAAATAGAAAAGAAAAGCAATTTTTGCACTCGGTCAAATTTTAACTGTCTTTCATAAAATTATCAGATTTATTGGAGACTTGACTTTACTGATGTATGTGGTAAAAATAGTAGATAAATAGAAATACTAACAAAATTGTTGCACAATACTGTAAATGGGCAGTGAAATTAATTCTGAAGAAGTTTATACTATTGTAAAAACATGTACATGTGGATATCTGAATCATTGAAATTATTGAAATTGAACATCTTTGTCTGACATTTCTTTAAATTGTATTCCATTTTCAGTACCAACACAAAACCACACATCTACAAATTAATGTTCTTCTGTAATCATGCATGATAATTATATCTATTAGCAACCAAAATTGATAACTCATTTTGTTATATTTGAAATCAAAAAAATATATTAATTTTTTAAAAGCACATTAAAATTTTCAAAGAGAAAAGAGATGGGAACTGTAGACGAAAGTGCATAAAACTATTTTTGAGATATTTATAAAATGTAAGGCTGTAATAATTAAGTCACATTCACCATCATAAAATTTCTGTCCTCTTCAGCAGCACAGAATCACACCATGCTTTTACAATAACTTTTTTCAGAACTTTTCAATCTCTGTAGAATTCAATCAATATTAAGTATGGTACATACAATGAAATGTATAGCTAAAAAGTAAAAAGAAAATGTTGTTTGTTTAAGTTTTGTCTTTAAGATGAATAAAAAAAACTTCTGTCTCGCCTTTCAGATGGAAAAAAGGATGAGTGAATTAAACCAAACAGAAGCTGAAACAAAACTGGAAAATGACAAATTAATGAAGGTTTGGAGATTCTTCACAAATCCAATACATACAATCATTAAATGTGGATATGCTGTCTCAAATTTGATTTTTTTTTTTTTTGCATGCCTTAAATTTTCTTCTTAAAGAAATTTGGATATTTTATCTTTTTCAAAACTTGATTTAAATGATACATGTAACAAGAAAATTATGGAACTAAAAATATTTTTCAGGAGAAAGAAACTTTAGAAGAAATGCTAGAGAGATCTCAGGAAAGTCTTGAAGAATCAAAATCATATATTGGTCAGCTACGATCTCAACAAAAAGACGAAAAACGAGAAAGAGCCAGGTAATGTGCTACAGGTGTCTCTCGGATAGGAAAATGAATACCACATTACTACACGAACAAGCAATTTTTAATTCCAACTATGAATGATTAGCATGTAACGTGTGTCATGTGAAAATCAATGAATGCACCACATGGTCATTACAGCCATTTAACATCCAGAGGATGGGGTTCATGCATACACTGCAAACAAGGACAATGAAATGTCATCTGCAAACAATGAGTATATATTTTGAGAGTAAAATATATATTAGGATTTTACAGAAATAGATATAAAAAGTACTCTGAAGGATTATGAATCTAAGTGAAATCTGGGTTTAAAGGATTGAGTGTAAATTAGTTGAGGAAATACATTTGAATAGAGGTCTCACTTTAGGAGGTCAAAGTTCAAGATATCTCATAGCTGTTTCAAGAAAATTGTCAGAGTAAAAGAAACATATACCTACAGGAGACTTATGATATATATAGATGATTTTCATATCAGGATGAAATTAAAAATACATGTCACACATTTGAGAATTTTATGATTTAGAAAGTTCTGTGTATGAATTCACGTTTTATATTTTTACTCTTCAGGGCAGCATTGCGTTTAACAGAAAACATTGCTTTGGAAAGAGAAAGTTTGGTTAAACAGCTTGATTTGCTGAGGTAGTTTTTTTTTTTTGAATTTCTCTAAGTTTGAGATTAGTTTCTTTTGTGTAGTATTTCATTTTTGATTTCCTTTTTGTCCACAGAGATGTAAACAAGAAGCTTCGCGATGACAAGGATGAGGCAGAAACAAGGCGGGTACATATACATTTTCTATCTCCCAATGAGGTTTATTATCTAAATACCCTGAGTTTTACACTTACTTGGCTTTTATGATATATGATACTTATAGGTTCAAAATGTACATCATGAAAAATACATATTTTCTCCTCTCACTGTACCTTCTTAACAGAACGTGATGTTTTGCAGATGTATTAACCATAGGATGAAATATCAAAGCATTTTATAACTAAAAATCTGTTTTCTTTTTCCGTCAGACAGACATGTATATAATATGAGTTAAATTAATGCATCTTTTATCAGATAAACTCAGATACAGTAGTCCTACTTCTGTCATTGTTGGTAACAATTGGGTATTATGATTTTAAATTGACTTGAAATCTGACAGTGAGTTTGTCATTTTGTCAGTGTGCTGTCAGTGACACAGAGATGTCAGATGATTTACACCAGGTAACAGTAACACTGACCCACTGACCTACTTTGTTGAAGTTTTATTTCTTTTTTGTAGTTCCTATTAAAATACCTTGTTTTCTTGATTGCTTAATTTGAATTTAATGTTTCAGTGCATGGCAGTTAGGTATTAAAAGAACTCATGCATGCATGGTTCAATCAACAGTGTCGCTGATGCTCATTAAAAAAGAAGAATTAATTTAAGAAGCACAAATTAGCACTCTTTTTATTTAACTTCAGTGTTTTTATCCTGCATGTTAGTTAAATGATTAATTTGCCTTCAGCACAAGTTGCTTAAAAGAAAAAAAATGTGTCAAAGTAAAACTTAACACATTTTGGGGGTCACAATCAGCTATGAGTTGTAAATGAATTAATTTTGATTGGGAAATGTAGATTTTATGGATTCAGAGTATTGTAGAATTGGTCTTCAAACAGCTGATTTTATGTTGTAGCCCTCACATTTTGTTTATAATTCCAGAAAAGTACCCTTTATTATAAAAGATTTCTAGAGAAAAATGTTTAACCATTTAAATTTGTTAAAATAATTTTTCTGGTATCTCCAACATACAGAAAATTGCAAATAACATTTCAGTTCCTTAATTTGTGAATGAAAGAATTCATTGAGATTTCTTCCTTGTTATAGATTTTGGAGTCAGAAGCAAATGCGAAGAGGCAATGCTTCAGAAACCAAGACCCGGCCAAACGAGGATCAATCCTTGGCAACTACTTCCCTCCAAGCAGGTAAAACCAAGGAGAATAACATGTAATACTGTGAACCTGTCTTACTGCAAATTGGTAAATTAAATAAATCATTACTTTTTAGCTCACCTGAGCTGAAAGCTCAAGTGAGCTTTTCTGATCACCCGTTGTCCGTCGTCCTTCCATCCGTCTGTCTGTCCGTCCGTCTGTAAACTTTTCACATTTTCGACTTCTTCTCACCACTGAGCCAATTTTAACCAAACTTGGTACAAAGCATTCTTGGGTAAAGGGGAGTTTAAATTGTAAAAATGAAGGGCTAAGTCCCCTTCAAAGGGTAGATAATCAAGAAAATACAAAAATTGGGTGGGGTCATTAAAAAATTTCTTCTCAAGAACCACTGGACCAGAAAAGCTGAAACATATGTGGAAGCATCCTAGGGAAGTGTAGTTTCTAAATTGTTCAAATCATGACCCCGGGGGTAGGGCGGGGCCACAATAAGGAATCCAAGTTTTACATTGAAATATATAGGAAAAATCTTTAAAAATCTTCTTCTGAAGAACCACTTAAACAGAAAAGCTGAAACTTATGTGGAAGCATCCTGGGGTAGTTTAGATTCTAAATTGTTCAAATCATGACCCCCGGGGGTAGGGCAGGGCCACATTTAGGAATCCAAGTTTTACATTGAAATATGCAGAAAAAATCTTTAAAAATCTTCTTCTCAAGAACCATTGGGCCAGAAAAGCTGAAACTTATGTGGAAGCATCCTGGGGTAGTGTAGATTCTAATTGTTCAAATCATGACCCCTGGGGGTAGGGCGGGGCCACATAAGTACTACGGAGGGGGGGGGGATCAGGAGAAAAACAGCAAGGCCAAAGTTACTCAGGTGAGCGCTGTGGCGCATGGGCCTCTTGTTTTTAATATTATTGTTTTGATTTTTTTTTTCAATTAAATTTAAATCTGTTGAAATTATGTAATTATAAAAAAAAAGAATCACCAGTGATTGAAAAAGATAAATGAATGCTTCACATAAAAAGTCACAGAGAAACTTGTGTTCAAAATTTATAAAAGATCACAAAAATATATATTTAGGTGAAGATGTAATATCTTTCATGTATGTATGTCTTCTGTATGTATAATGAAGGTATATTAATTTTTCTATCATTCAGAGGTAGAATGGACTCCACCCAAGAATCAATCTCGGAGTTTTCGAACGACGAGGATCTAGAGAAATCTCAGCCACATCATCATTCACTTCATGACATCACAGACATCACCGATGACATTGAATGTGATGATGATGTCATGACAACTCAGCTCACACAGTCACTTGATCATGTAGATAGTCATTATGGGATAGGAGTGCAGGGTTCAGAGGTCTTTGATAGCAGGGATCAAACCACAAGTAGTGATGGGGAAATAAATGTTAGAAGTACCAGGTATGATTGAAATCCAGAAGGCGTCATTGTTTACATGTTAATCAAGTAGACAAGACTATCTTGAATAATTGTAGAGTTCATGTATGGTTTGTAAAATTTTGGTCGTCTTAGCATTTTTTAGCTCACCTGAGCTGAAAGTTCTAATCACATTTTGTCTGGCATCCTTCTGTCTGTCCGTCTGTAAACTTTTCACATTTTCGACTTCTTTCTCGAGAACCACTGGGCCAATTTCAACCAAACTTGTTCTATTTTTTTGCAGACAGAGGCACAAGCAGCACAAAAGACAGAGGAAGAAAGGACACAAAGCTGTGGTCGATGAAAATAGGTAAAAAAAAACTGTTGAAGTAATGCTGAGATCTCATGTGTGACAGAATAACAAAACTAACCATACAGTAACAAAGATATTAACTGTATTTTCAAAGGGTTGCGATTTATTTGCCAACAATTAGACCAATACATGGAACTGAAATTCATGTTTAGTATTATTTCATCAATTCACGTGATCATTTGGGATTAAATGTTAGAGATAAATCTACCCTACAATAGCTTATTTGAAAATATAGGACATCCAAAACTAATTATAGTTTTTCCTGAAAAAAAAATCATTGAGTAGATGAGCATAATCAGCATTCATATCATGTTTGTTAACATTTTATTCTAGCCATTGTAGTATACCATTAGAAATAGAGCACTAATCTCACCTGGTTTTTGCTTAGTGTGCACAATACTACTGTCACTGGTGATGGAAGCTATTTCAGTGATGATATTGAGGAAGACGGGGACAACATAGACCAGCAGGTGGCGTCGGCCTACGAAAATTTGTTTGGTGGAAGTGAGAAGCGAGAATCCATCTTCGTGGAGACAATAGAGGACTATATGAAGCATCTAGATCAACATTCCCCTAGGCATCAAAAAACAAAACACCTTGTGACAATGACTGCAACTGAAGTTTTAACTGAAAATGATGAGGAAATTCAGGAAAGAGGGTGTGGCCTACAATTTCCTCTGAGCAGTGATATGTTACCTGTGTATGGTTTAAAAGCATCACTGAGAATACAGTTCTATAAAGGGAGCTTGTTATTATGCAACCTTACATGGGTCTTCGGATATATTGACTCCACATCTTGGTGCCTTTGGTTGTTCTCCAGGGGTTATTTTATTTACAAAACCGGTGGTGGTGGAGGGTGGAGGTGCAATAGCTGCTTGCCTCCAGTACAGGTGATTATAGAGCTTTTATGGGCTTGGTTACTTGGCTTATTATTGCTAATTCATCTTTCTATACATTATTATATCATCATTTTAGTGTATTCCATTCTAACCTACATGTGAATTTTAATTAATCTACTAACATTTCCTTACAGGGATGATACTGACATTAATAATTATGAGGACACTTTTGAAACATCTTTTAGGTACTTGATGTTTTGATTTTTATAACTGATATATTTCAGAAGAGGTTTTGATACTTCAAAAGATTACATCATATTTAATGATTTTACTCTGAAATGAAAGGTATTGAAAGGATGAAGTTTTATTTCTAACTGTACAGAAATGGAATTGTCCCTGAAACCCCGAGAGGACAGCCGGTTGGAGAAGACAAGGTATAATGACTAATCTTATAATTAAGGGGAAAAAATTCCACTTTATAATGTTTTTAAGAAGGAAGTTGTTGGTATTTAAAACATTGAGAAGGAAGAATTTATCTTTCAAACACTACGGTATATTTATACATGTATATTGTTTAAAAAAGGTGCAACTGATTAAAAATTCATATGTGTATATGTTGTAGAAATGTCATAATTTTGATAAACTTGTTGGTTTATAGAAATTGAGACCTTAAATAATTCTTTTTTTCCCATCAGTGATGTGTATGTACATGTATATTAATGCCAGTTTTTGTGATACAGACTGACGAGGAAGTGACCCCTCCCCCCAGACAGAGGTTGTTTAAGGTGGTGTTTGTGGGAGACTCGGGTGTTGGCAAGAGCAGCTTCATCCACAGATTTTGTAATGACCAGTTCAACCCCACATTCAGTGCAACTATAGGTATAGATACAATGTATTTAGCATGGAAATTGTAGTTTGTACAAACAATCAATTAAAAACCTCTTTTACAAATTGCAATTGTTTAAAGAGTAATGGTACTCCCACTAAGTTTTGTCCAATGTCCTTTTTTTTTTTGCAATAGATAATGTCATCTTCAGTTTGTGTAACAAAGATTGGCTGAGTTACCTTTCCAGAACTTTTGTATTTAATGAATTTTATTGTATCCTTTGGATGTTTCTTAATGTTTTGGTATGTTTATTTCCAGGTGTGGATTTCCAGGTAAAGAGTCTGGTGATGGAAGGTCAGGTGATTGTTCTACAGCTATGGGACACTGCTGGCCAGGAACGGTAAGTCAGATCGTGACACTGCTGGCCAGGAACGGCAAGTCAGATCGTGACACTGCTGGCCAGGAACAGTAAGTCAGATCGTGACACTGTTGGCCAGGAACAGTAAGTCAGATCGTGACACTGCTGGCCAGGAACGGTAAGTCAGATCGTGACACTGCTGGCCAGGAACGGTAAGTCAGATCATGATCTGCTGGCCAGGAACAGTAAGTCATATATAGGTCAGGTGGTGACCTGCAGGCTTGGAACGGTAAGTCATAAACAGGTCATTTGGTGACCTTCTGGCCAGGAACAGTAAGTCACTTATAGGTCAAGTAATGACCTGCCAGCAAGGAACAGTAAGTCATAAATATGTTCAGGTAGTGACCTGTCGGCCAGGAATGGTAAGTCATATACATGTACATGTATGTCAGGTAGTGATCTGCTTCTGCAGTGAAGATGTAGGTATTATATCACTGAGTGATTAAATTTTTTTTACATAGATTTCAGTTTAGAAAGATAAATTTTCAAACAATGATACCGGTACTTATAATTAGCCAGCTTATGCAGTTTGTTAATCAGAGTCATCTATAAGTATTTTTTGTAAATCGGAACTGGAAATTGTAAATTAATTTTTTTCATGAGCAATTTCAGTGCAGTTCTTGTTGATCTATTAATAGGTTTCGCAGTATCACCAAGCAGTATTTCAGAAAAGCAGATGGTGTGATACTAATGTATGATGTCACCACTGAAGCCACATTCACCAATGTCAGAAACTGGATGACCAGCATAAAAGAGGGGGTGGAGGAAGGAACAGCCTTGGTTGTCGTGGGTAACAAGACAGATCTGATTGAGGAACATGACAGAAGAGCCATCAAAACGAAAGATGGGAACAAACTTGCTGCTGTATGTACACAATGTTGTGTTTCGTTTTTGTTTCTGTATTAAGAGATAAGGAACAAATACCCCGGTATATCACATATTCTAGTCTAATTAATCCGAACAATTTTATTCCCAATCACACTGTCCAAATTAATGAAGCATCTGGATGAGACGCATCTTTATAATTATTAAAAATTAATGTTATGACATCAGGATTACCGAGGTTTATATGTGTAATGTAAATTACTGTAGAATATTTGTTTTCAGGTCTAAGAGCTGTTGGATTTTAGAATTTGGAAGCAAAATTAATATGTTAAAAAGTCCGGTATTAGAAATTGGAAACATTTATCATGGAAAGAAGATGGGTGAACAAGGCGTGCAGAATGCCTATGGCTTCAGATATTAATAAAATCATATTCAATTTGCGAATTAAGTATTTAAAATAAAGTTCTCATTATTGAAATTTATGAAATTATGATTAACAAAACTTTTCTGAGAAAAAAAATCTCGGAAAAATTATTCTTTTATTAAAAAAAATAAAATGGTATTCGTGGGATTCGAACCCCTATCAATAAAAATCCGGAGTATCATATCGTTTTGAGACTAACACGCTAACCACTACGCCACGCAGCTCCTGACGAATAGTGGCATTTAAATCATGTTTGTGATATGACCCTTGACCTAATGGACTTCAAGTATTTCTCGGAAAGATACGAATGCTTTGTCATAAAAGTGTACTTTTAAGGTATAGTGGGTCTTTGCTCCATGTTTTTGTAAACCAAAAATGTATATTTTTATGCAAACTTTTAGGATCAACTTTCAAAAAAATGGAGCGAAGACCCACTCATATCGAAAAATCTTGTTAAAGTGTGAGAAAATGATCCTTTTTGTCCTCTTTAGTGTGTGTATGCTATTTCGTAGGCAAATAATTTCAGTCTTTGTGAGATTTTTGTAAATTGTTGAAATTTAGCATAAAATATACTTTAATGTTAGATGAAATATCAAAGAAAATTTTTATATAATTGAGATTATATTTTTCACTTCATGTTTGTCGCACTGTAGGCACTTCGCCCGCCTTGTTCACCCATCTTCTTTATTATTTTTTTAATAAAAGGTTATTTTAATTAGTAAAAATATTTTTCCTATAGGAATTTGATGCCACATTCTTTGAGGTCAGTGCCAAGTCTGGAACAAACATCAAGGAATGCATGGAAGCTTTGGCAAGGTGACCATTGTTGTTTTAGAACAGAAAATATATGTACATTAATTTAACTGTGTAAACTTTATTCATTCAATCCTAAGCTGAAAAATATTTTTTCTAATGCTTACTCTCACATTAATATATTTTGTTTGAATTTTTTTTTTATTATGAAAATTGATTTTCAAAAATTCTAGTCATGTATTTTCAGAATCAGAAATAAATATTATGGTTATGAATTACACAATGTGATATTGAATACTGTCCATTTCAGAATTTTAAAAGAAAAAGAAGATGATGAAATAGAGAAAGCTGTACATTTGGAAGATTCTGACAAAAAGCAAAAAGGAGGATGCTGCAGTTGACAGATATGGGACAAATTATCATAAACATGAATACTCATTGTTAACATTAAACAAAGCAACTCTCTCCTGAAACCCCCCACCCCACCCCCCTCTGATATTTCAGTTGAATATTTCATTACACAAGTCCTCAGTAAATCGACAAGAAATATTATACTTCCACAATCAGAACAGTGCCACTGCATGTTCTTCATTTTGATGCTTCCAGGATCTCTTATGTGTATTGATTTAGACATTATCCAAAGTTGTGACTTGGAAAGTCCCTCCTTTGATCTCTGTGTTCTAAGAACAAAAATTTTGTTGTTGTTGTTCTTTTTTTTTTTTGAAAAGAAAAAATACGCTGACTGCATTTACTCATGTCTGTTCCATAATGACTGATCTCCATGGTTACAGAAATCCATTAATATTATTTTAGTGCAATATTTTAGATTTTATTTTCATATTTTATGATATACACAATTCCAAACTTGTTTCATAATTTATGTATGGGAGAATCATAAACTCTCAGTTGTTATTTTGAAGCAAATATTTATCAATTCTCTGTGGGGAATACTTTTATCAACACTTACATTATTTTATTTCTGTACATATTTGTGTTGTCTGACATACATGTATATAATTTTTTTTTAATTCAGTGATGTCATTACATGTCATTCAGATTGGTTGATGGTTTGAAGGAATAACAAGTGAGGTTTGATCTGTGGTCACCACAGGAAAGTTTATAATGGGAAGTTTTATTTATCCCAGAAAGAGTTATCTTATTGAAAATAAGGCATTTATAGAGATATTTATACATTTTCAAGAAGAATCTTGCTTAGATTCAACATGTATCGATCCTTTGTGATCCTTGTCAAGGATGTTGATTAATTTTCATGACATATACATGTAGATCAAAACAAGCAAAACAATTTTAAATTTTTTTTTTTTACACTGTACCAAGACTGTATCATGATTCCATGAACTGTTGCTTTGTAGAATTCCTGAACCAATGTAATGATTGTTGATGTCTGCTAGCTACTCTTCCATTTGTTGATTAGGCAATATATCACTTTACATACATAGTATGTTTCAGTGATGCTTGTGGGAAATGTTGCTTTTTACTATGTGTACATATAAATTTGTACATAGTGTTTTAATAAATTTTTATATTTATGAATGTTACATGTATTAGAATGGGTATTTTGTTGAAAGTTTATAATTAATCTTAAATAATATGCACAAAATATATAAAGATTCAGATTTTTTAATTTTTGTTGAAACACATTTTATTTTATGGAAAAAACTAGATAGAAAATATATTACTGGTAAGCTATAATGTAGTCATGAAAATCGATGACTTTTTTAACATAGGGTTTTAAAGTTTGTTCCATGTTGGAAGCAGTTTTTTTTTATCATACATGTTAACATGGTTAAACATGCACAACATTCCAGATAATAAATATTGTTATAAAGAACTTTTTCAAAAGTATGATATTTTTTTAGGCCAAAAAAAAATAGTCTTGTTTCCTGCTACCAGCCTGAAAAAAATGGGGTTGGTAGGTAGAAAAATTATTTTATTTTTTTATTTTTTTTCGAAGGCATTTTTTGGATATGAACTAATACAAGATCAAATTAAACATGTCACAGGTCAATATTGTCTTTTAAAATTAAATTTCATGTCTTTTGATGCACAACTCAAGTGGTATTTTATGAAAGTCAGTATGTAAAACAGAGAATTTCATGAAATGCTTGTTTTGTGTTTTAAAAGACAGAAACCGATTACATTGACAGAACGATGAAATTCCGAAAATTTCCAATTTTTTTTCTTCTAAAACAAAAAAACAAAACAAAAAAAAACTTGAGGGTCGGGCACAAAAAAATAGGGTCAGTCGGGTAGCAGGAAACAAGACATTTTTTTGGCCTTAGTCTGTGGCGGTCAGACACCTTTTCATCACATTTTTCTTTCCTGTTACTTTTGCTGCTGGGCAATGTTCTGGAAGCAACAGGTGAAAGACCTGCCATGGAAAAAAAGAGCCTAGGTTGGTGTCTTCAGGGCGAAAACCTTTAAAGATGGAGGGATGTGGCAGTCAGATAGATTTGATAGCCAGTGGCCAGATAGTTCAAGTGGTAGAACACCTGACTGGAGATTCAGTGGGCCAGGGTTCGAATCCCAGTCTGGTTTATCTCCTGTTAGAGTTCTATGACTGTTGAAAATGAAAATTTTTCCAATTAATGAGATTATTAAGCAAAGCAAAATCATCATTGATAATAAATATTCTGTAAATTGGACAATTTTAAATCTGTAACACCTTTTAAATGTATAAAGAATAATGTTATGACTACTTTCTTAACAAAAATAATACCTTTATTAAAATACCAGCACTGAATTCAGCATCCCTTTGGGTGCTGTTTAATTACATCAACCATTCCATAGCTGTTTAAAAATAGAGTAATTCAGAACTTTTCTTTGACAAGAGACTTTATTTGTTGGCTAAAAATAATTTCAGCATGTTCAAGCAACTTTTCTTGGAATTTTGACCATATGTATGCCTCTCACCAGCAGATCCTCTAGGCTTCTTCAATATTTCAGCAAGACTTCAGGACACTAAAGATTACTAGCTTGCTGGTGCACATGAAATCGATAGGTACTAATTCATGCAAGAATTTGTTGATGTATGAAACATACTTGATTGCTATTCGTAACGGGTGACATGTTGTTTCTCCAAATTTTTCACTGCAGGAATTCTCCTAGCTGTCGAGAAAAATCTTAATGAAAACTTATAGTAATGATACAAAGTATAGTTAAGTATGCAACATTCAAAATGGCTTCAATTACCATGGAAATGAAGAAGGTCAATTTGGGGTGACATAAACTAATAACAAACATGAGTTTCAACTGCCGAGATGCCTTACTGCTCTTCACTACTGAGGTAAAAGAGGCGTTTGTTTTAGCTGTTGGGGCCGTCACCCTCGATGGAGGCAGGCATCAGAGTCCTGCCGCAGACCGCCGAGCAGCAGAGGCCCTCGGCCGTCCCCCTCGTCGAAGGACTAATTAATAGATCTGGATTAAAAACATTTCCTGCATGTGTGCGATAGTTGGGCCACATTCATCATACTCCTGTTTAGTGATGCACATTTGCCCGAAAGTGGAGAGAGAGCCCAAGATGGATCCACCTTTCCACACTAAATTCTTCCTGTCATGCGCTGTAGTGATCTTCACTTTCAGCTCAAAAAGTCTTGGAAATAGGGTTGATCCACCAGATAAAATAATGTTCTTGGAAATGTCTGTCCAAATATCTTTGTCGCATTCTAAAATGGAGTCGAGGATTTGCTTATGTATCCCGTTGGCTTCCAGACCTTGAAATATAAAAAAAAGATTCTTGAAGAATTTCAGTCAATTTTTTCATTTATTACTCTGTATACGATATGAAATTTAGGATTCGTTTTAGTCAAACTGTAGTGTATTGCTGTAAAATTTCTTAAAATTTTAAAAAGTTACAGCAACAATAGTTTGGAAGGGTTAAAATATATTGGAAGACTTACCCATAGATGGCTGGAATAGTAATTCTGGACACCGGAAACATTTGTTCCCGATTTTGATCACTTGTCCGTCAGGAAGTTCGTAAGAATTTTCCTGGCCTGAAGAGTGTGCAGAGGCAGAGAGCTCTTGTTCAAAGTCCACATGTGGCAACATAACAGACCTTCTCCTTAATGCTACGAACAATTTCTTGGTCGGCTACAGAAAAAAAAAATTAGCGAAAGGAAAATCGAAATTGCCACATCGGTACTTAAATGCACAGAGAGAATGTATGGATTTGAAATTTTACCGAAATTAACTAAGTTATTTCCATGGTTTACAAGCAGTTCTTGTAAAGCGAGACTTGCATTGTGCCTTGCTCTTCCTGTGATCGTAGGGAAAATGAACTTGGGGGCATCGCGTCCAGCAAACCCTGACTTACAGATACCCGATCCGTTATCAATGACAACTGTACTATCGTCCTTTAGCATATTTTATCTACAATGAAAATTCTCTTTGCAGTCGATTTTAAGGATCCGGAGAGAGAGAGAGATATTCAGACCCATCTTCAGGCTACTTTAGTAAACATACCACTGGTAAATATTAATCAAACAGGATACTAGCATCTTTGATGTAAAATGAACCATATAAGGACACAAATGAATAGTTCAGGGGTCACACGAGAGATGATGCGGACTCTGGAGTTAATTTGTATGATTATTATTAAAAATATTGGCAAATGTAAATATTTTCCTGTGATAAAGTATGGTTTATATCACCTCTTCCATCTGGGCTTGGTATATTCATTTTTAAATGGCCGATTTTGTACAGTCCCTGAAACGTTCTACTTTCCCATTTTTCCGTTCGCTCACCGTTCGTTCTACCGTTCGTTCAGCGTACGTTCACCGTTCGCTCTCCGTTCACAGTTTTGCGTTCACCGTTCACCGTGCGCTCGCGTTCACCGTTCACAAAGCGTTCAGCGTTCGCTCTTCGTTCCGTTCACTTTGCGTTCACCTTGCGTTCAGCGTTCACCTATCGTTCAGTTTTCATTGTCATTCGGAACTCCGAAGTGAAAGGACTTATCTTTTTGTAGGGAAGGAGTTACAGGTTTTTTTAAAATTAATAACTAACATATCGTGTTTGAAGAATCAATATTTCATGTTGAAAAATATCTACGATATATATTTTTATTATTCTAACTTAGCTGTTAGATTATTTATTAAATTACTCTGGAAAATAAATGTTGTTATAAGCACATTCTGTACCTATGTAGAACGATGCTGAAATATTAAATTTAACTAAGGGCAATGTGCAAATACTTCAAGCACTGCAACATTTTTATTGTTTTGTTAAAGACGACAAATCGTTAATGGTGATATAATTATCCAAGTCAAATAGTCACGCAGCAAAATTACGAAAATATTTATTTCTAACACGTTTTTTCCCAAATACTACAGAAAATATGATAGAACTAGTTCCGAGAGTTATACATAGTACTGCGGATATCCTGTTAATTTATTATCTTTGGAGCGAATTAAATTGATAGTATGGTTAAAGGAAATATTTATTTGAAATGTACTACACTACAAAATTTTTTATACTATAATATGTAAAGTCTATAGTTATAGAGAAAAAATTCTTCACTGTAACTTTATAGGTTTGCCATTCGATATGATTAATACCCCCCCCCCTCCCCTTTTTCCCCCTAGATTGGTTACTTAGTCAGTACTGTATTTCCAGAATATTTTAATTAACATTTTTTTTTTAAAAAGGTAAGGTCTTTTTTAGAACAAAAATTTCAGTCTCAAAACAAACATGCATCTAAAAAAGTCACAAAACAATAGTAGTTCAAAATGTACACGTGTCGGCGGTGGTATTTGAAATTGGCGGAGAGTATGTTTCAATTTCAAGTGTTAATGCCCAATGTATTTTATTCATTTATTATTCAAATGTTGGGATCAAATCTAGAAATGATAAAAATAAATGTTATAACTTGTTGGAAATATTCACACTTCGTCTTCGATGTGACGAAACTTTCACACCTGCACAGTGTCGAATGATTTTGATTGACAGGACAAGCACGTGGACTTCGTGTGAACTTGAAGCAGGAAAATAAAAACGAGTATGACTGTCAAACAAATGGATATGATTTCTCGATATAAAAAAAGTTACTTTCACTCTCTGATATATTTAGAAAAAAATTTAAGAGTTTTTGTTTGATATAGATACAAACATTTAGTGAAGCCTGAAAAGAGGGGGGGGGGGCTAAAACGGAATCTCTCTCTCTCTCTCTCTCTCTCTCTCTCATTTGTCTGTTTAATAAAAACTATAACAGCATATTACTTAAATATCAAGTTCTGAAAATTGAATTTATAACAAATAATATGAATATGTATCTTTGTATTATTTTGTCCGAGTATAACCACGGCTATCTACATATACATGTAGAAGTCTGCTCAATAAATCATCATGAAAAATAAAAATGACACATAATATATTATTGTATTAAAAAATTGAAATACGAGCGTATAAATGCAAAACGTCCACTGACCTTTGTAATTAATTTTTTTTTCATTACTTTACATGAAATCGCCCTGACATGGAGATATATGAATGATGTTACAACCGCTTTAATTCATTCTATAAGTCAGAAGTTTTCTCTTATTTGTTTATACTTCAGCGTTCGGCAACAATTGCAATGTTTTAATGCGATAAAAATCGTGTGATTAAAAACTTAAAGTGCATACATCGTCTTTCTTAGGACAATTTTGGCGAATTTATTTTATTGACTTATTTATTCATTCATTTATTAGTTTACTTATTTATTTATTCATTTTTTGGCACCTGACATTATAAAACAATAAAATAGTTTCAATGCAAGGAAAAGATCAGAGGCATTCCGAATATATCGTTCATCTTGCGTTCACCGTTCGTTCACCGTTCACTTTGCGTTCGCGT